AAATTATATTAATATTCTTAATTTATGAACCTTATTTTATATAACAACAATGATTCATCCCCCCTTTTCCCCCCACCCCCTTTGACCCCCTCTCTCTCTCATTGGTTACATTTTCTTTTCTTTTTTTCTTTTTTTTCCCGCTCCTCCAATCACCACCCGCCACGTGGCAAAGGGGGGTGAGGGGGTAACCCCCAAAAGGGGGTCCCAAGCATTATTCTTTATATAATAAGGAAAACTCATAAATATAACTATTTATTAAAATATTTTTTGAGTAATTATTTTATAAGTACCACCACGGATGTCTTTTTCCTTGGGGGATTTAAATAACCATTGGCCCTCTGATTAGTCACGTTGTGACCCTTTGTCTGTTATGCATCCACTGACTCTCTGATTTTTGGCGTGGAACAAAGTGCTGTGCGGAGTTAAGTGCTACACTATTGTGGGAGCCACCTCTAGAGTTCGTACGAGTCACCTCTTGAGTCCATACATCTGTTCTGTTCTGCTCTGTACTATGGTTAGGATTATTTGGGTTATATGATTTCTGATTATATATTATGTATTTTAATATCAAGCTTTGTTTAGCCAATAATTATCTATGGTGATTTTATGCTCTTATGCTCTTAGTATAATATTTCTCACTCTGTCATGTGCTTATAGCTGTTTACCAATTTTTAGCAGTGTGTTTGGTTTGAGTTTTCTAGATTAAGGTCTTGTTTGGTTTGTGTTTCTCAAAAATTTTTGAGAAAAATTCTCTACAAATAAGTTTTTAAAAGTAATCAAACCAAACAAATTTTTTCAAAAAAATTTTCCAAAACTTATTTGGTTTACAAGTTTTCCAAATAAATCTCTCTCTCATACACATCAAATCAATCATTTTTTCCAAAACTCTCTCAAAATAATTTTCCAAAACATCTTTTGAAAAAAACCAAACCAAACAACTTTTCGTACTTTTTATCTCTAAAACTCATCTCTCAAACTCAAACCAAACATACCCTAAGTTTTTTGAAAACTAATTTTTTTTTTGTTTTTCGTGTTTTTTTTTTTGTTTTTAGTGAATATTTTTAAAATTTTAAACATTTTTTTTTTACTTTTTTAGATTTACCTTACTTAGATGTATCTAAAAAATAAAAAATTTGTGAAAAAATATTTTAAAAAATTAACAAATACATAAAAATACGAAAGTCATACTAAATTTTCATAAATTTTTTTATTTTTTTATTTTTGGTATTTATTGAATTTTTGAAAGATTTTTTTCACAAAAATTATACTTTTATGTGTATTTATGTTAAGTGTGTTTAAAAATTAAAAAAAAAATTATTTAAAATATTAAAAAAATTCAATAAAAATAAAAAAATACAAAAAATATGAAAGTAGAATTTTTTGAAAACTATTTTTAGAAAAAAGAAACCAAACAAGTTGAATGCAATTCAGAAATAGCTTTTGGAGTCTTAGACGTGGGGCTACGGAATAGACACACATAGCACTTTTATAGTATTTGTAATTCTATTATTCATATGTAAATATTGGTATTTTTGGTCAATAAATTTTGTTATAAAAATAAAAACTCCGATGATTATTTTGGTACCCTCACTTAAATATTATTTACACTCGCATTTAATTATTTTTTCAAGAATTGGTTGTAAATAAATTCAGTTACTGGTCAACACGATACTTAACTCTTGGGTTCGGGGAGCGAGTCGTGACATTATGACCCAACATTAGTATCTATTTTGTGACCCATCTAGTTGGTTTATTCAAACATCATTATATACATATTTATTTGTATATATTAAGCAAATGGGAGGTTTAGACTTTTGGAACTCTCATCTTTTGATAAAGGAGCTGATGATCATCTTAGTGACCATATGTTTCCAATCTTTGTAACTTTAGCCCTAATGGCTAGAGTTGATGGCCTTGGTTAATGACATTTGATGGCCCTATTAATGTATAACCTTCATGGCTAGAGATTCCCCTACTTGTATAAATAGAAGCATTTCCCCTCCAACTTAGTAGAATAATTTTGGAGAGATATTTGATGGGAAATGGAGATGGTGTATTGAGATAAAAAGTTGGAGATGGTTTTTTACACCAAAGAAACTTTTTCTTATCTTCTTTTGCTAGCTTCTTCTTTGGTTCTTGTTAGAGAGAGTGTATCAATTGTTAAGTTCACCGAAGCTATTCAGAAGATGCTTCTGTATTAGCTGGTTTTGACCATCGTATCTTGGGAGACAAACGCCGGCGTACCTTTAGCATCCATTGGGAGACGGTGAATCTATTTTAAGAAAACTGTCTAGTGCAAGTTTCAGTTTGTTTCTTTTCTTATCATTTGTTCTTAAATTTTTCAATATTTAGTTTACAAAGATGAGTTCTAATATTTAGTTATCCATGTTAATAATTTGTTCTATTAGTAATGTAATCTAATTCATTTCTATATTTTTAGTTGTGTAGTTTATTATGTATTTCATTCTTAAAAAAATTATTTTGTCATTTCTATTTAATTTATTTTATATATTTTTCTTGTATCATTATGAAAAAAATACCAACAAACCTCTCCCTCCATGTGAGGTGTTTTCTTCCTCCCATGGTGGAAGTGTGCTAGGTTCTCCTCCTCCATCCTGTTGGTGTGGATCTGCTTCAAATCTGCTATAGATCTGATTTGAAGTTGAGTTTTCTAGTGTTTTTGTTTTTTTAAATATTTTATTTATTTATTATGGTTTGGTTTGATTATGGAGTCCATCAATGCTTGATGTAACTTACCTACTCTTTAGTTGTAACCTATGATCTATATTTGGCATGCTCTACGGTTGGTTATTTATAGTCTCTGTTTTGCAGTACGAGCACAAGTGCAAGCTCAGGTTGTGTGACTGAATAATTTAATAGATTTATCCTGTGTAATTTTTGTTTTATCTTTTCTTTATTTGGTGTAAGTTTATCTTTTGGATGGATTCCTCTCTATATGTGTTATTTGGCTACATTAATGAAAATTTCTTTTGATAAAAAAAAAAATAATAACAATAATCTTACGCAATAGTAATTGAAGAAGTGAAGAGGTAGCTGTGAAATATGATGAGGATTTTAAGCATGAAGTTTCATTGATAAATGGTTACCTTTTGAATATTAGGCTTATTTATAATCATGCATTTTTTTTTTAATTATTAGAAATGAGTGAAAATTGCCAAATAAAAAAACAACAATATGTGAGAGGGAAACATAGTTAGTTTTATTTAGTAACTACAACAACCACTTCATTTTTTTTTTTTGGCAAAACCATTTCAATTTTTTGTATTGAGTCTTACTCATCATCAATCAATGAGTGAAATTTTTTCTTTATCTAGATCTGACGGCTAAAATTGATTTTTGTGTTACCCCTCCCCCCCCCCCCCCCCAAAAAAAAAAAAAAATCCTAAATTCATTATAAGATATTCATAATGGTTAAACAACAACCAACTTAATTGGCAATCATGCTTGGCTTGGAACATTTTTACTATACCATATTGAATATAGTTGTAAGAGATTGTTGCTTTGCTTTGAATTCTGTAGGCTGAGGTTGTTGATTTCTTCACTTTGAATGTGTTGTATTTATGAAATTGTGTTTTGTTATGAAAATGTATGTAAAGAAGAAGAATAATTTGGTAAATATTCACCGTGAATTAACTAATTCGCATGTTTGAGCACTTTTGGCCCCTTGCCAAAATTGGAGCAATCAAAAGAGAAGTGAAGTGCTTGTTACCTTAAAGATACTACACCTTAGTCTCTCGATCAATGAAATTTAAGGGTGGCCTAAATTATTCTATTTAATCATTGACTATTCAATTTGGCCAAAGTTTTTTATCCTCAAATCTCTCTTTCCTCTTTTTAATACATTTTTAATCATTGGATATGATCTTAAAATTCACGTATTTTATAAATTTCACATGATTCAAAGATTAAAAAGAACTGAGAAATTTAAAAATAGAATTTTATTGATTCACCTTGTACATCTTATTTTATTTTATAATTATTAGGTAGTTAAACAAAAAGAAAAAACTAGAGACAACGAAATTTTTGTCTTGTAAATAGTCACCAAAGCCTTGTTTTGTTTTATTTTTTGTTTTTAAAATGAAGTAAATCCCACTAAACTTGTGTTTAGTGACAATTTTTATGATGCTATTTTGGTGATATGCAGAAGAGCTGAATAAAAAACTGATGGAAAGATCACGACTCCCATCTCATTCCCTAACCAAACATTTTCCTTTGGAATGTTTAAAAATAATTTTTTTAAAAAGTAAAAATAAAAATAAAAATAAAAGTAAAATACCACTTGTATTTTATCACTGTCGATAGATTTCTTCAACGTACTCATAACAATCCTGAAATAATATGCAAGTCAGAATATTAATTGTCTTTGATATATATGTATGTCATCAATCATCAGTAGATTAATACTTTCAATTGAATGTCAAAAGAGAAACAAAAAAGGATTTATGTATATTCTTACGTAGCACAACCACAAGTAGTAGCACAAAGAAGGCAATCATAGTCTCACCTTTACGATTGACATTCTGATGTCGCACAAAAAAGTATTGAATAATATCAAAACTCAATTTGCTCAAAGCTGGTTTTAGAATGCAATTAACCAAAACTTCCTTTACTGGTTTTAGTATACAATTAACAAAAACTTCCTTTGCAATCTCTCTGATTGCACCTCTTAACATGGCCATATTGGATCGAACTTAAGTTAGAAAGATGAAGAAGATATACTGAAAAATTAAGTTCACTTAACTATATATATATGTATATATATTTTGATGGGTATACATTGAATCCATAAGTTGCAATACTTTTAATAAAGAGCCCAGTTTAAATAGCCCAACAGAAAAAGGGCCAGTCTGGCCCACTTCACTCAAAAGAGGGTAGAGAGATAGAGAGGGAGGATGGGACCCACAAAAACACAAACTACAAACCCTTAACCAGATTGTGGCACCAAAAGATTCCAAACCATGAAACACAAGATTTCAATTCACAACCAACCCCCAAAATAACAAAACCACCCAGAAACCAAAAAGAACACAAAAATAAATTTATTATTAAAAAAACAAAAACAAAATTATACCCCAAACACACAGTGCACACAAGGGTAGGCCAAAAAAGAAAAAAAGTAACCTTCCTATTTTACTTGATCTTCTCATTTAGTCAATTCACAAAGACTCAACCATTCATTAGAAATTAAAAATTTTCAAAAACACAAAATAGACAAAACAAAAACAAAAAAATATACTAACAATATGGAATATGTAGAGACAGACCCAAGAAAGAAAGACTGTTCTTTTTTGTTCATTTTTAATTTCTTTTGTTTTTATTCCTTTCAAATCAACTCCCTTTTTTTCTCTCTTTTATTTCTTCGCAATTTCCTATCATTGCTCTCTCATCACAATCACAATTATTATTTCTCTCTTTCTATATCTACACATTGTACATGTATATATACATACATTCATGTCCTTTTGTGCGTCAAAATTTGCCCCAATTTCTCTCTCTCCTTTTGTTTTCTTGTAGAGCGAGAGAGAGATTATATATTGTTTGTTTATCGCAGAAACCCTAGTTTTTGTTTTTGGGTGTCTCTCGATTTCTAGGTTTGAAAAAAAGCTGTGATTTTGATCTTCAATGGAGGCCGCTTCTGAAGGGGAGAACAATAAGAACAACAGTGACAGCAGTCCGATTGAGGGGCCGAAGAAGCCTAAGAGACAGATGAAGACTCCTTATCAGTTGGAAATCCTCGAAAAGACCTACGCTTGTATGTATAATCTCAATCTCAATCTCAATTTTGTGTATATATATGTTGTATATGAATTTGGTGATTTGGGTGATGAAGTTTTTGATTGATTGATGGGTTTTGTTTTTTGATGGGTTGTGCAGCGGAGACCTATCCGTCGGAGGCGACGAGGGCGGAGCTATCGGTGAAATTGGGGTTGTCAGATAGGCAATTGCAGATGTGGTTTTGTCATAGAAGGTTGAAGGATAAGAAAGATGGGGGTGTGAAGAAGCCCCCAGCTAGCGGGGCGGTGGTGGCGAAGAGGGGGTTGTTAGATTCTGATAGGGATGAATTAATGGTAGCTGAGAGAGGTAGTGATCATGGATCAAGGTCTGGGTCTGGGTCGGAGTCAGGGTCGGGTTCGAGTCAGTTTGATTATGGGGGTGGTGTGCCGATGGTGGGAAGGTATTATGAGTCTCCCCGGTCGGTAATGGAGCGTAGAGTGGTAGCTTGTGTGGAGGCACAGCTGGGAGAGCCATTGAGGGAGGATGGGCCAATTCTTGGGGTGGATTTTGATGAACTTCCACCGGGTGCATTTGGGGTACCTATAGGTACTTATTATGTTGTGTTTTGTTATTGATTATATTGTCTTTATTGTATGTGTGTTTATTTGGTTATTAGAAAAACATAATTCTCATATTTGTGATTGGGATGTGATGTTAAAACAAAGAAAAACATAATTCTCGTATTTGTGATTGGGATATGATGTTAAAACAAAAAATTTGATGATCTAATATGGTTTTTTGACTTTTTATATTTTGAAATATATCATTCTGTAATTTTGGTCAATGTTTGTTATTTTTGGGTTTTTCTTATGTTATATTACCCTTCCCTAACAAATTTTATGAACTTAATTTGGCATGCTTTAGAGTTGTCGAATAAAGGCAGGTTTCATTACTATCCATTTATGTGTTGCTTGTTTCCTGAGGTGGTGACCATGTTGTTGAGTCTGGTTTCATGGCATCAGGCAGTCCTACCAGTTCTAATACTGTGTGTGTAGGAAGTAGATAGTGTATTTTGATCATATACAAGTTTTAAGTGTTGATTTCCTAGACTTTTGTCTACTGTGTAAACTTCCTTTATGCTAGTGGTTAGTATCCAAGCTTTTTGTTGAGCGCATGGACTTTGATCTGTGTGTACAGTTATCACTTCTGGAGGATCAACTTGTAGGGGGGTGCTTTCTCTTTGATCTCCTAATTATTTTGATATCTATGGGTTCAATTACATTTGAGGTACTAATTTTTTGAAGGAAATGTAATTTGTCTTATGAAATGTGTACATGGGTAAGAGAAATGGATATGAACTGATATGTACATGTTGACTGGGTAAATGGTGAAAATACGGAATATTGGTACAGTAAGGACACAACTAGTATGCATGCCTGTTCAATGGCAATAGATCATTCTTGTATTGATGGAAGACATGAAAGTCAAGAATACAAATAATTAGCTTATGGTTGTTTCCAATAACTATGAAGGATAAAAGTGAAGAAAAAATAAGTGATAATGGAGGGCAAAGGTGGAAAAAAATTAGACATAGATGGCTTGAAGTTGATTAATTCTAGTCGCACACTATATTTTATCTCAGTGCACACCATTTGTGTCGTTACTGAACAAAAATAAAATGTTCGAATATCAACTTCTGAATAAAAACCAATTGTTCGAACAAAAATCCCGTTTGATAGTTGATGTCCAAACATTTATATTTTGTTCGGAAGTAGATATCCAAGCATATGCATTTTGTTCAGATGTTAATGTCCAAATGGCGTGTATTGAGACAAAGTGTGGTGTGTGCAAATAGAATCACCCCTTGAAGTTATATATGCTTTTGTTACTTTAATTGAGGGCAAAAACAGGAAAAATAGTTTCGAGCACCCAAGGATGAAACTCTCGAGTCAACTATCCCTTGATGTTGATATATAAGCTATAGATTATTCTCCAAATTTCAGGATTCTTGTGCTTTGATGATAGAAATTTGATGTGACGTAAAAATGAATATTTAGTTGAATTTTCTCCACTCAGTTTTCTTTATCAGTTCTTTTTGTTGCATTATTGGATATGCATTGATGAAAATCTTTGTTGTCTATCATTATTTAGTTGTTTCAAATAAAATTATATGTTTTTTGTTTTAAAAATATTTGTCTGTAAGTGAAATACTGCATTCTTTATTAACTTAATCATATAGCTCGTTTATAAATGAATGAAGTAATAGGTAATATGAGTTTTGAATAAAAATTTCTTGTGTTCCATATTTTATGCTAACTTATTGGTTTTCCTTGTGGAGTAGTGATGACAAAGCAGCGGGACCAATCTGGGGTTTCTTATGGGGGCAAATCATTTGAGCAATGTGATCTCAAGTCAATCAAAGTTGGTTCTCTCTCTCTCTCTCTCTCTCTCTGATATTTCCTTTACGAAGGAAAGGAATTGTCACTTTTTATTACCTGTGAATGGATTCGTAGGAATATTGGAATTCACAAGTGGTGCTCTTATTTATTTGTTTCTTCTGATGGATGTATTTTTGTATTTAACACTAAAATTCTTGCTAAAACCAATAATGAAATAAATAAAGTTACTTAGGTCATCTGGATAAATGCAGCTTAAAGTTTTAATTCATTGTTCCTCCAGGCTGCTGTTAGGGGTCACCGTGAATGTCTTCTTGATGAGCCTAGCATCGGATTTGATTCATATGGACGACTTATTCCATCGAACTTCTATGATTCACCTGTTGAGTGTCCTAGGGCCAATCCTTCAGTGCTTGTGCATGGTAATGGACAATTATCTAGGGGATATGGAGTCCAAGGTCAGGTACAGTCTGTTAGTTTATCATCTCAGCAAGGTAGGCAGGGACATTTTTCATCACCATCTGGGGATAATAACTGCATTGCGCAAAGGGAGTCCTTAATAAACATGCAATTGGATGCTTCAGACAGTGCACATCCAGCAATAGTGCCAGAAAATACAGATGCATCTGATAGGCACATTTCCAATAGTGAATATGGCTTGCAGATGGAGAAAAAACGCAAGGTATTGTAAAGCCCTCGTGTTTTGCGCACAATTTCTTTTATCAGGAATTAGTAGTCATGTTTTAGTTAACTCTTGCAGAGTGATGAATCTAGAATTGGAAGGCAAGTTGATGCCAATGAAAAAAGGATCCGGAAAGAGCTTGAGAAACAAGATATCTTGAGGCGTAAGGTTTGGTCTCATCTGTCCTAAACTTCAACTAATTGTCAACTACAGAATAGGGGGGAAAGAAAAGAAAGAACTTTTCTCATACTGATGTGATGAATCTTTTTTTTAAGAGAGAAGAGCAAATGAAAAGAGAAATGGAGAAGCAAGACCGGGAAAGGCGGAAGGAAGAAGAGAGGTTGATGCGTGAAAAGCAGCGACTGCAGGAGAGATTTGAACGTGAAGAAAGACGTGAAATTGAACGGAGGGAGAAATTTTTGCAGAAGGAATCTTTGAGAGTAAGTTTGAGAAACTAATGGTGTAAGTTTTTGAGCTCGTACAATATACTTTATTTACATCATCTAGTGATGACAAAACTCATGGGTCTCCCTGTCGCTTCCATTTTTGTTTGTTTGTCAAGGCTGAGAGAAAGAGGCAAAAAGAAGAGCTTCGCAGAGAGAAGGAAGAAGTGAGATTGAAAGCTTCTCTTGAGAGGGCAACAGCACGCAGAATGGCCAAGGAATCCATGGAGTTGATTGAGGATGAACGGTTGGAATTAATGGAATTGGCTGCTTCAAGCAAGGGATTACCTTCAATAATTTCTCTTGACCATGACACACTGCAAAACCTTGAGTCTTTCAGGGGTACGTTTTGTTTGACATTCCCATAAGAATTTTCTATTTCACTCTATAATTTTTGTATCTTTTGCAATTGTTCTGAAAGCTGCTTACAAAATTCCATATTATTGTGCTATAGAAGAAATTGAGACAGCATATATTTGTCTTTTTCAAAGAATATGAGCTTTAACTTGAGCTAGTCAAAAGCTTAAGTTTGTGTTTTTATCCCTTTTACCTTGTCAATGTGAGCAATTAGGTTCTTCCTCTTATGACACCCTGTTTTTAATGAGTTTTCTCTTTTATGCAATGCCTCTTTTATCTTCTCATTTCATCTCCCTATTGAAGCCTCTTTAAATTATCTTTCAAATCTAGCTTTCTCACATGGGAAATAAATTCTTAAAAACCACTAAATAAATGGACCTTATAGACTTGCCAAAAAAAAACAGGATCCTGTTCTGTTTAAGCATCTCTAACATCTTCTGATCCTGTCTTTGATGCAGTCTTTAATTTTGTAAATTTAACTTGTGGTGAATTAACTTGAATAGGATCCTGCATCTTTCATGCCAAACTTGTGGATTTTATATTTCATATGCAGTTTAGTTATATAAATAGCTACCTTAATGCTATATGTGTTATCTCAAGTCATTTCATTTATATTGTTTTCTGATTCAGTTTAATATATTTTGGAAATCTAATGGGCTGCTGACAAAAAGTTCTGTTCTTCAGATTTGTTGTGTTCATTCCCTCTCAAGTCTGTGCAGTTGAAAAGGCCATTTGCAATTCGACCCTGGACTGATTCAGAGGAGAACATTGGAAACCTTCTAATGGTTCGTCTCATATCCATTTCTTCTTTGTTTCTTTGGTGACTAGGGCCCATATTCAGAAAGCATTGTAAGGGAGCATATCATGTATGAGTGTTTAGAATACTTGTACTAGTGGCTGCACTAGTTGTAAATTTTTATTTTCAACCCAGGTTTGAAAGAACATAATCCATCTTTCTCTTTTTAGTCAAAAGAAAATGTTTCTTTCTAGTTTCTGTGATATAATGTTTTGTGGATAAGCTATAATATTGTACATCAGCGGATTAGCTTAAATATGCCTGTTGCCTGAAGCATGCTCATGTTCTAGCTTTCATTGTTATATGCTATGAAGCATGGGTACGACAAAAATGTAGTACTTATACTTGGTACATATTTGGTATGGGTACGCATTGGTTACGGGTAGATGTGTACCAGGTACGCAAAATATGTATCCATTTAAAAAATAAATAAATTGATTGTATAGTATGGTTCATGTATGTCTTGCATACGCACCACTTATGTGGCTATAGCGAGGCTTAAATGCAATTTTCTTAAAAATATAATGGAACCAAAATCTATATAACAAGAAATCAATATATATTGGCTATTTTTACATAAAACAAATGAAGGGTGTCTGCAAATTTCCAAGTAGTATTATTCAAAGATGAAGTTGATGGAAGTGAAGATTCTTAGCTTCATAGGACTATGGTTTTTAGAATTAAACTTTGGTTTGTAGCTTCTCTAATGTAATGACATTAAACTATCAGAATAGACCTTACTGTTAGCTTCTCTATATCCATGCTTCATAGTGCTTGATGATTTGTTAAAGTTGTGAACCCTAAGCCTTTTTTTTTGACATTGTGGTTGCCTTGTCAGGTCTGGAGATTCTGTATTACTTTTGCTGATGTTCTGGGGCTCTGGCCTTTCACCCTTGATGAATTTGTTCAGGCTTTTCATGACTATGTAAGTTTTTTGGGAGGTCTTTCTTTCAGTTGTCTGGGAAAATATCTTATTTGTTGTTTTGCTCTTGCTATTTTCTGGAGTTAATATTTGCATATTAATCCTTTAGGATTCAAGATTGCTGAGCGAGATACACATTTCTCTTCTGAAATTGATCATCAAAGATATTGAAGATGTTGCGAGAACACCCTCCACTGGGTTAGGAACAAATCAATGTAGTTCTGCTAATCCTGAAGGTGGACATCCACAGATTGTTGAAGGGGTAACCTCAAGCTCTATTTTGTAGTTATAGCTGTGGCAGTAAGCCTTTCTTTTTCTTTTTAAAAAAAAAAATAAAATTACAGAGCTTTTTGTTGATGTTGACTTTCTGCAGGCATATCTTTGGGGTTTTGACATATGCACCTGGAAGAACCACTTAAACCCGTTGACGTGGCCTGAAATATTGCGGCAGTTTGCACTGTCAGCAGGTTTTGGGCCACAGTTGAAGAAGAAGGGTATTGATAGGGCATGCTTACATGATAAAGATGAGGTGCTTTATTTTAATGTTTTCATCGTTGCATATATCACCTTATATTTCTTGGCTAAGATTATGATACAAACATGTTCAGGCTGATTGTATGTGTTTAAAATAAAAAAAGGTTGTAAACCCCAATTTTTTTCTTTTTTTTTTTGGGACGGGGAGACGGATTCCGCTGATTGTGCAAGTGTTGCCAAGTAAATGTTTCTTATGATGTCTATTTTTATATGATATTACTATCAGGGTGTGCAGAAAGTCAGATAGCTAGGACTCTTTAAAATAGGAAAACAAGGTATTAGTTTTTATTTAATATTGACTGTATTCATAATTCATAGAGGGATAATGCATTGTGGATATGTACTCGTGATCCAGTCATGGATGTTATTCTTGCAATACACGATAGGATGAATATTACGGGGGTGTCACCATTGCTAGCTTGTTTAATGAATCATTTGCTAACCAAATTAAATTCTAAATTGGTTTGCTGAGAATCTTGGCTTGACTTATATATTATCTTGAGCATTTGTCTACATTGAGATAATAAAGCTTATTTGCTATGCTTGACTTGCAGAATAATTAACTTCCCTCTTTTCTGAGTTTGTTTTTTCCCTTCATATCGATTGATTCATAATTATATTTGTATGTGCAGACTAAAGGTTGTGAAGATATAATTTCTGTTCTACGCAATGGTTCTGCGGCTGAAAATGCAGTTGCAATTATGCAAGAAAAAGGTTTTCCTCTTCAGCGCAGATCAAGGCATCGGTTGACTCCTGGAACAGTCAAATTTGCAGCTTATCATGTTCTCTCTCTTGAGGGAAACAAAGGCCTGACAGTGTTAGAACTTGCACATAAAATTCAGGTAATTTATATTTATTTTGGATGGCTCTTTGCACCCCTTACCTTTTCCTGATTTTTGTTTCTGTCTGCTTGAAGAAATCTGGACTTCGTAACCTAACAACAAGCAAGACACCGGAGGCTTCTATTTCTGTTGCATTATCAAGGGATGCAGTCCTTTTTGAAAGAACAGCTCCTTCCACATATTGTGTACGGCCTGCTTTTAGAAAGGATCCTGCTGATGCTGAGGCTTTGCTTGCAGCAGCCAGAGAGAAAATAAAGCGATTTGAAAATGGTTTTTTATCTGGGGAAAATGCTGATGATGTTGAAAGAGACGAAGACTCTGAAGGTGAAGGCGCTGATGGTCCTGAAGTTCATGATTTAGGTTCGCCAAATGCAAACAAAAACAGCAGTAATGAAGATAGCACTAACTCAGGAAATGAAAAGGATAATTTCCTAGACGATGTCACGCTAAATATGCAAAATGAGCCTGGTACTGCAGGTAAGGATCATTTATGTATTTTTGTCTTTGATAATATATGTATTTGTTGTTCTTCAATAAGTTTCCAAGGACAAAATTTCAGGCACTTCTGTCAATCAATTTATTGATGATTCTGGTAAAGATAATGTTGCAATTATCCCTTATCAAGGAGATACAGAGATCGATGAAAGCAAATCGGGTGAACCATGGGTTCAAGGACTTACTGAAGGTGAATATTCAGATCTTTCTGTTCAGAGCGTCTCAACGCTCTTGTTGCCTTGGTTGGCAAAGCCAATGAAGGAAACTCAATTCGTGCTGTTCTTGAGGTAACGTTCTCTCAATTTTATGTCTATCAAATTGCTTGGTGTAGGAATAGAAATGTTGGTCCTTTTGTCTGTTGTCTGATGTTGAGAGTTTTGCAGGATCGCCTGGATGCAGCAAATGTTCTTAAAAAGCAAATGTGGGCTGAGGCACAATTAGATAAAAAGCGCATCAAAGAAGAGAGTATTCCCAAGTTTCTTTACTCTTCTTTTACGGGGAATGAAACTGAGATAAAACAGGCCTGTGCTGCAACAGAGAGCAGCCAAAGCCCATTGGCTGGTTTTGACGACAAAATTTCTGAGTCACCTCCCAACACAGTAAAGAAAGAGTCTTTCGTTGGGGCAGACAATGTGCAGGATCACCTCAACAGTTTACCTCCAGATAGAATCCTGGTGGGACCCGATAACTCCATTTGTCAAATTAGTTCCTCAGTTCAGCAAAATGGGTATGCTGCCGAAAGGTCACGCTTGCAGTTGAAAACTTATATTGGCCACAGAGCAGAAGAAATGTACATATACAGGTCCTTGCCTCTTGGTCAAGATCGAAGGCGTAATCGTTACTGGCGATTTGTTGCATCTGCTTCTAGACATGATCCTGGTTCTGGCAGGATCTTTGTTGAATCACCTGATGGCTATTGGAGGCTTATTGATTCTGAAGAGGTAGACCTTTTACAATATATAATATTTACTAATGTGATGTCTGGTCAATGTGTCATTCCAGTTTTACAGTGAATAAATCAGAAGTAAGCTTGCAAGGTAGTCTTTCAATGAGCTGAAAGCAACTTTTTAGTTGTAGTACAGTTCTTAAGGCTCTTTACAAGCTGGACCTTGGTATGGAATATGCGACTATAAACTATGAAGCATAGACACGGCAAAATGGAAGCCGTGGCGGTGTCGGATACGGGGACACGCCGGGGACACGGGGACACATCGGGGACACGTACGGGACACGGCATCTGGCGTGTCCCCTTAATTTAATTTATTTTTTTGCAGGGGACACGCGTGTCCGAATCTGGACACGCCATGGACACGGCAAGAAGAGTAACTGAAAGGGGGAAAACGAGAACAAACCTGGTCAGCGACGATCCAGAGCCCTTCGACTTCGATCGACGATCCAGAGCCCCATTCTACTTCGACGATCCAGCCCCTTCGCCTTCGCAGAGCTCTCTCTGTCTCGCCTTTGCCTTCGCAGAGCTCACTCTCTCTCTCGCCTTCTCTCTCTCCCTCGCTTCTGATCCTGATCGCGATCGAGATCGCGATCGTCTCCCTCTCTCTCGCTTCTGATCGCGATCGTCTCCTTGCTTCTGTCTCCCTCTCTCTCAGTTCTCTCCCGTCTGTCTTCATCTCTTGATATTATAACTATTATAATTATTATATATTCATATATAATATATATAACTCATACCTATTATTATTTTATTATATAATAACTATATATAATATATATAACTAATAACTATTATTATTTTATTATATATTATATAATAGTTATTATATAACATAAATATACTCATTAGATAATGGATAATACATATTATAAGATAATATATACTTATACATATTAATAAATAAAAAAATAAATACATGTATGTAAAATAAAATAATTAATTACAACACATTATTTAAAAATATAATAAATAAATAAAATAATTAATATGTATTAAAATAAAAATATTTATAAAAAAATTAAAAAATTTGCCGTGTCCCCTGCCGTGTCCGTGTCCCCATTTTTTAGAAATTGCCGTGTCCCGTGTCCGTGTCCGTGTCCGTATGCGTGTCCGTGTCCGTGCTTCATAGGCAACCAGTCTTACTTTGTACCGTTCTATGGAACCATCTGCTTTGTGTTTTACTGTGTACAGCCACTTACACCCAACTGGATTTTTGCCTCTAGGTAACTCCACTAACTCCCAACTGCCACTCTTGTTGAGAGTTCTTATCTCTTCCATCATGGCATGTTTCCATTTGGCCATCTGTTACTGATCCAATTTATTCTACTTGTAGGCATTTGATGCTCTTTTAGCGTCCTTGGACACACGTGGGATTAGGGAATCTCATTTGCACATAATGTTGCGAAACATTGAGAAGTCATTCAAGGAAAACGTAAGAAAGAATTCTCAAAGTGCTAGTATTATGGGCAGAAGTGTAAATGTTGGTAATGAAGCTGCCGAAATGGATTCTAGTCCTGCTCAAAGTGGGGGTGCTGACAGTCCTAGCAGTACTGTTTCTGGCTCCAATTCTATTACCAGTGAACCATCATCCTCTTTTAGAATTGAGCTTGGGAAGAATGAAACTGAGAAAAAGGCTGCTATGGAAAGATATCAAGAGTTCCAGATGTGGATGTGGAAAGAATGCTTCAATTCATCAACTTTATTTGCCATGAGATATGGAGAGAAAAGATGCAGACCACTATTAGGAATTTGTGATTTTTGTCTCGACTCATATATTGTTGAAAACGACCACTGCCCTTCTTGCTACAGGTCATTTGGCACCTTTGATAACAAGATAAATCTTTCTGAACATGTGCCCTTGTGTGAAGAGGAAAGGAAAGAAAGCCGCAAGAACTCTAATATTTCAAAATTTTGTCATCCCTTGAGAATCAGATTGCTCAGGGCCTTGTTAACTGTCATTGAGGTGAGGGAACAATTACTTTTTAAGTTTTTTATTTTTTATTTAATTGGATTAGAACCCTTAATTTTTCCAGGATTATCGCTTGATCTATTTTCCCTATTCTGGCATCTTGTATGTAGTTGTCATTTATCAATTTTGTCTATATTTTACATTTTTGAATTGGCAGGTTTCCGTTCCATCCGAGGCTCTTCAATCTTCTTGGATGGAGAACTGTAGGAAGACTTGGGGTATTAAGTTACATGCTTCATTGTCTGCTGTGGATCTTCTACAGGTTTTCTTATTTTTCATCTTTTTTATTTTTGTTTTCCTCCTCTTTTGGACAATGTAATTGACATGCCTCGGTCTACTTCTTATTAATATGATTTTCTTTGAAAGAGATTATGAATTTGAATTTTAAACAATTTGGTTTTCAGATTTTGACCGAGTTTGAGGCTGTCATCAAACGGTGTTGTTTATCCACACTTTTTGAGACAACAGATGAATTGTTGGCTGTCTCTGCTCTATCAGGAAGAGGTGTATGTGATTCTGCCGATGCTGGATCAGTTCCTCAACTTCCTTGGATACCGCAGACCACTGCTGCTGTCGCTCTTAGGCTTTTGGAGCTTGATGGCTCCATTTCCTACACAGGGGATCAGAAAGCCGAGCTTCTTGATAACAATGAAGTGGAAGATTTCACAGTTGAGTCTCCTTAAAATATCGTTACTCTCCCTTGATTTTGTGTATCATTCTTTGTTCAATAGACTGCTTTTATGATCTTTTTATTTTCTTGTTAGAAGTAACTTTATAGTGGCCTGTTTCAATTATCCTCAGAAGCTTCCATCGAGGTATGCTTTTATGAAGAATATTGAAGAGGTTGGACAACCAGAAGTGCACCAAGGCAAACACAGGAAAGAAAGGAATAGCGCTGATGTGGCTAACTTGTATGGGATCTCTGGATATAGGCAAGGGGTTCGTGGCCGTGGCCGTGTCCCTGGAAGGTCGCAAAAAAGAGTTACAGGTTCTGGCAAACGAAATCTTAGAAATGTCGTGACATTAACCGATGTACTTAGGCAGCAAGGACAGAGAACAGATGGACAGAAACTTGGACGGGGTCGCCGAACCATTAGGAGGAGGAGAGAAGAAAAGAGGGAAGTTCAGGATCAGGAGACGCCGCCGAGTCATTTCGGCAACATAGGTGGCCTTAGGAATTTTGTAGAGTCCCCAAGAAACTCTGGTGGAGAGTGGGTTGGTGAAGAGATCGAGCAGATGCAAATCGATGGTGCTGATAATAGTAACAGTTTGGAAGCCATTGAATCTGATGACAATGATGAGTGTGCAGTGGGATACGAAAATGGGAAATGGAGGACTGGGAATTTGATGGTGATGAGTGATGAGGATGTTGATGGTAGTGGGGATGATAACGATTTCGAAGAGATGGGAAGAGAAGCTTTTGAGGAAAATATGGTTATGAATGAGGATTTCGAAGAGATGGGAAGAGAAGCTTTTGAGGAAAATGTAGATATGAATGAATATTCGGAAGACATGGGAAGAGAGGGTTTTGAGGCAAATGTAGATTTGAATGGGGATTCAGATGGAAATGGGGATCAGAATGAAGATGAAAGCACAGATTCAGCAGATTCAGAAGATTATAGTGATTAAAGACGGAAGTGGTGATGGATCAGAAGAAGCTTTAAGCAGGTTAAATTTTTTCACATGTTTCTTTTTGTACTATTTATTATTCTTTTAGTGTAGCATCTCTAGTAGGCTCATCTGTGTATAGGGGGGTATAGAACAAAATTGAAATGCCGGTTTTAACTCTTTGTTTTTCTAGTTAGTTAAGAGATACGTGTATGTGATCCAACCACCTGTTCAAAGAGCATAATGAGAGTGGATTTGTACATTTGGGATATAATTTATTATCCTAATGCCACCCTGTTTTGTTGCCATATGTGCTTTTTGAGATTGTAGTAAAATAGGTTTCTGATATTTTTTATTTTTTGTTTTTTGTAGTTTACTTATTTATAATATAGTCCTAGTTTAAGTAGTGGTTGCGAAAATGGTTATACTGTAAGAGAAATTCCAAATATTTTTCAACCCTAGATTTTAATGGTTGTGTGTGCATGTCAATTCTACCCAACCCAATGTATATATTGTTAAACTTGAACTATTTTGAGGTTGTCTTTGTATTTGTTCACTATGTTGTTTCTTATTATATTCAAGCGCCATCTAACTAATTATTAGAAAAGAAACACACACATTGATTTTTCAAGTTTACTTTTCTTTTCTTTTTTTATACTAGTTGGATTCCATGCGTGTGGTGTGATTGATAGTACAAGAAGGCAAAGAAATGTTTATTTTTCGAAAAAAACACAAAATACACTATTTTTTCTTTTCTATGTCGTCAATAATAAATACATCTTGCACGAAATCGGGAATCAACAAACAAATTCAACCTTTGTTGTCTTAAAAGTAAAACTCTGAATTAATCAATTGGAAGGATTATTTTTTGTCGTCTCTCTTTTCCTTCTTTCTACCACCAACGTCGCCACCCCTTTCAAAATTTGAACTGAAAACATTTCCACCTTTGAATTTTTCCTATGAAGTTAATTAAAAAATGATATTAAAAATTTGTGTGGGTACAAATAATTTTATAAAAATTTGAACATGACAAATACTTTTTTCCATAGTTTATTTTCAAAATAAATTTCTAACTAGTAAAGAGTAATCAACCTTCTTCACAAAGCAATCTTCAATGAACGTCTGAAATCTGATTCTTTTTGTAGCAAGGATTTGTAAAGTTTCAGATAATTTTTCTGTACAAGTGCACAGTAAGAGAAAAATGAAACTACAACATACATCTTCAGGAAAGCAAGGAAACAGTTTTCCAGAAAATGGTTTTTATAGAAAATATTTTTTCATGTTTGGTTTCCGTAGAATACTCAACATTATTATTATGAAGGGATTTATCACACAATGCGTGTACAAAAAATTCAAGAAGTGTCTAAGAAGTGTTAGTAAAGCCTGTTATATTATGAATTTGATTTTTTAATGGAGACATGATGAAGAAGTGTTGATGAGACCAAATGTAGCGCACTTCTACCATAGAAATGTCCGCAATTCTAAGTTTCTAACATGAGACTGAATTTAATTTTTGAAGAGCTATTATTACATGGAAAATTAATTTTTGGAGGGCATCCCTTATACAAAGAGGGCTTTTCAAAATTTCAGGGGCCAGATTGAGTTTCAGGGGGCCATTACATGGGGTTTAAAAAAAATTTGAACAACAACCCATGTATAAAAGCGTGCTTTTTCAAATTTTGAGAAGCCAAGAACAAAATCTCTAATTCTTCTATCAATAGATAATTTCAAAGATACAAATGTAGCGCACCATGGTAGTAAAATTAATAATCACAACAATAATAATAGTAATAAAAATAATGAGGATCAACAGAAAAAGATTTATTTAAATACTTGGCAGTTTAGCATAATGCTTTTATATATCTCACTGTTCTCATCTTGATGACCAAGCCACAAACCACCATACCAACCATTGGCTTCATCTATTACGGTCAGTGCCACATGTCTAAAGGACGCACCTTTATTTCAAGGCATGTTGCAAGAAAAAAAATTCAAATATAGCAACATATAATATTTTGTCTTGCCATCTAGAGGTAATAATATAAAAGGTGAAAATAAATAAATAAAAAAAATTTGTGTGTGTAAAAACTTACGTCTCAAAACAATCAAAAAATTTTTGGCAACATATTGATCAATATATTGGATATTTTCAAGAAAGCGATATCAATTAGTATATTTATATTTAAACTAAGAACACATCACCAATATATGATACCCAGATATACAACACAAATTTTAGAAAAATTTTGATATCATATCAATTGGTGTTAAGATAGCACATGATATTATCACAATAAATTGTCAAGTTACACGCATGTAAGAAAAATGCTAGGAACCCACCCTTATGGATCATGAATTTACCCCGAATGTGTTTTTGTGGTAGAGATTGAATTGATGAAGTGTAGAGTTTACATATGAAATAAATCTGAGCCATTGATTTATTTTTTTGGGTAAATTCTAGGTTGATAAGGGTGGGTTTGTAGTATTGGAGCTATGGATGCAACATCTTTAGTTATGGATCGCGTGACATGGACTCTTCTATTTTCCGCATGCAAAAAATGAAAATGATACCAAACAACATTTTTGCCCAAATGACGTACTAATCTCCTTCCTTTCTGCAACTACATACTTTCTACTATCTACTAAATTGAAAAAGACTATTTTTCACAATCAATCCATCAACAATGACATATGCATAAAAAAAAAACAAACTAAAGTGAACACGTGGTCTTTGCTATCCATCAAGAAAAATCATAACCTTCTATCCAATGCAAAGAGAAAAACCTATTGAAGTGTTAATCTACAATTGAAGCCTAATAAACATATAAATTATAATGTTTGAGACTTACTGATCGTTGGGAACTTTAATCAAACAGAAACAGATAAAACAAATATGACCAACACCATAAACCACATATCTATATGGAGAGTCAGATTCAGTGTGGAGAAACAAATCTATCTGTTCAAGATCAATCCTAAACTCAATCTCAGACATTTGCCTGAGCCAACGCCTCTAATCCTCCCGCAGATCAGTCTGGAGCAGACAAACACAATGAAAGTGGCAATCATTCCAAACCCAATAATTGTAGTTATCAAGTTCATGCCTGGACTAGGCATAAAAAATGAAGAAAAAAAAACATATATAAATATGTATATATAACTTGGCAGCTTATACTCAAGGTATGTACACCCATTTGAGGGGAGATTGTGGGTTTGGAATGAGAAAAAAAAGAATGACTTTATTTTGGGTAAGTAAATAAATTCAATAAAAAGAGGCAACAAATGTTAGGATCAAAGACACCCAGAGAATTATCTCACACACACAGAGAACACAATATTTACGTGGTTCGGCCCAATGCCTACATCCACGGACAGAAATGAGAATTGATACCACTTGTTAGGATCAAAGACACCCAGAGAATTATCTCACACACACAGAGAACACAATATTTACGTGGTTCGGCCCAATGCCTACATCCACGGACAGAAATGAGAATTATCACTAAAATGGAGCAAAAATACAATTACAGAGGAGGAGATGAAACTCACTCAACTCACAGCTCTCACTCTCCAATTTCTGATGATAATTCTCATTTCTGTCCGTGGATGTAGGCATTGGGCCGAACCACGTAAATATTGTGTTCTCTGTGTATGTGAGATAATTCTCTGGGTGTCTTTGATCCTAACAACAAAGGGGTACACAAAAAACATAAGATGAGTGTGAGAACAAGAGATAGCTAATTCAGACTCAATTTTTTTCTTTATTTTCTCATTTTTAGACTTAATTTTATTTTATTTTATTTTATTTTCTGATCCATTGTCTCATAGCCAAAAAGAGTATTACCACAACACAAGAAATGATTACTGGACTTTTGAAGTTTAATTAAAAAAGAATGAAACTTATATAAAACAAATGAATCTAAGAGACGTTGATATATCATATAAGGTTATAAATATAACAGATGTAAAATAAAACAACTTGAAAATAGATACAATAAACGAATTATTTTGATAAGATAACAAGAATTCAACCATTTCCAAGAAGGGTTCACAAATTCACCAAATTTCAACAATCACTGCATGAACAGAGCTGAATCTATCTATACAAATTAGAAAAACAATCATTCAAGCACCTTAAACAATTACCATCAAAACAACTACAACTATGATATTGCCTCAAGCGACATAGTTGAGATTGTGATTAGTATACACCTGCTATTGCTTTTTACATTGTTTGTCTAGGTAAAGCACACATAACGTTTAGTAACAGAAATTTTTTGGTTTCAATATATGACCTAAGAATTTTATGTTTCAATTTGGTGATTAAATCCGTGCGTCTCATACATAATAACTTATCTTCATTTGGGTAATACATGAACTAAGAAAAGTGAGCTCTAAACTGATCAAAGAAATATTGATATATAATAAACAAATTCCTAAAAAAAAAAAAAAAAAATTAAAAATTAAAATTCAGAGCAATTTTTTAGTATAAACAAATCATTTTATAAAGAAAAAGTTTTTTACAAATTACCAAAAGATTTATTAGAATCCCATAATCCAACAGCGATTCTTAGTCAAACGAGATTTTCGGAGAGATATAGAAAGATACAAAACTCAACATAGCCCAAGAGGGCCCAACCCACGGTTACCTTGGACTGCCCAGATAATTAGTTGGTTAGTTATCACTATAAAGCCTGACAAATAAACAGGGAGCCCAGCAGAGAATAGAGAACCCATAGTGGTCTAAACCAATTACAGCTAGACAAGTGTTGAGTAGAGAATTAGTTACTTGGCAGACAAAGATTTTGTAGAGTTATTGAGCCTACGGGCCAAGCATTAAATGAGACTGTCAAAGCATTAAATGCAACAAGACCTCTCGCTCTGGGACGTAATGAAACCACCATAGCCGACGGCGAGTAGGTTGCAGGCTTTCGACCAATGAGACAGCATAAATGGACAAGGAAATGATAAGTAAGAGATATAAGAAAGCTTCTGAGGAACGTTTTGACAATAAATAATTCACACACTCTCTCTCTCTACTCTCAATCTTCTCTCTAAATTGTTACTCCGACCTCATTCACATCTAACTTGATCACCGGAGGGTCCACAAGGGGGAACCAGACTTGTTGCAGGAGCGATTAGGAAGACGAATGACAGCCAACCCGTAGAGCGCTTGGATTAGTCCGACCCATCTTATCCAAACCAAACTGCATTATCACCTTTCATGCTTGTCATGTAAGTATAGTTTCCAAAAATGATCATGTAAGATTATGAAATTACAGTCTGTGTAGATATATATATATATATATATCTTTCAAGCTTTTATTCAATATTTTCGGGAGAGAACCTTATTTATATTTATGGGTACATGTATTTCTCATTTTTTTCCCTTCCTTTATGGAGATTTTGATAATAGAATTGTATGGTTATGTATTGAGCTTGAGTTTGTTATTACGGAAACAAATTTCATACACAATTTGTCCAACATGTGTGATAGATTGTGTGATACAGTTTCCAAAACCCAGCTTAAGTGAGAATCATCATGTGTGTTTTTAATGACCAATTGGAGCTACTTGCTCGTCTAATTTTACTCTACCTGCACTAGTAGTTATTTACTTCTCTGTTCTCCTTTGTCACTTTGTCTGAATTGGAAATTACATTCTTGCTAACACCATCACACACATTTCAGTTGAGAAATGAGATACCTCGTCTGTTTCTTGAACTAGATTGACAAAAATTTGCATCAAGGCAACAATTACACCACTTAAAATAGAAGAACTTGTGGAGGAAGACTCAGGAGAAAGCTGCAGCAGGACAGGTGGCAAGAGGTGAAGCCCAACTTGTTTGAGAAGCATCATCTTCCGCCGGGCTTGCTGAAGAACCCCAAACACTGCATATCTTGTAAGGCAATCTTCAGGAGGCGTGAAGTTGGCATCTCACCACACTGATGTTAGAGGCAAGTTTTGCTGCTTTTATAGATTGTTATTGAGATTTGTTGTATTCAAGATTAATAATGTTAATTTTTCAAGATTTTATTTTTGCATTCGTTAGAGTGCTTGTTTTTCTCCCCGAGATGGAAAATGGATTGCATGATAATTGCTACCGTGGTGAATCCAATAGGGCTGTGGCTATTGCCAGGCAGAAACTGGCTTTTGCCTGAGCAAAGTAAAGCTGTCTACTGCATTAAACCATATGACCTTCCCCTGGAAAAAGCATGTTTCTGCTCAAAATATTAATTGAGAAAGATGCCAGTTTCTTTAGAAGCACACATCTCAAATCTTGTCACAATGAGGTAAACACAAATTGTACAAAATGACACTTCATTTTCACAAAGCCAAAATTGATCTCATTTATCTTTTTTTTCTTCTTGGCTAAGGTAAAACTTGGTACATTCCATAACTTGTTCTACAAACACAATGTTTCATTGCATGTATAAAGAAGGCACATAAAAACATTGGGCGAAAAATAAAAGGGAACAAAAAATTATTGTACATCTATAATCTAACTCATTGCGGCAATAGTTTCTTGATTCCATAACTTCTGCTCAGCCCGTTAACCTCATCAGGAATTTGATGTTGGGCTCGACTCGTAGATTGCCTCGCTTTGAAGGCTCTTTTGGAATTGACGACCCTACTTTTGGAACCACCTCATAATTTCAACGAATCACATTGTTGATTGGGATCATCAGGTTTCTGTCATCTAGGGTTGTGTGGTTTATGGACTTTGTACCCTGTTACTGCCTCAGCAAGCGGGCATCTTCTGAGCAACAATCAGATCATTATGAAGTTCAGACCATCTGTCAGAGAATAAAGAACGAATGGATCTTGTAGGATTCCCAAAAAATTCTTCAATTTCTTCTGGAATTAACTGGGACATTGAGGAATATCTAGAAAGGCATTTCAGGAATGAGTCTGATTCTATCATGTGGAGACGCTAGTGCTCGTCAATTATGAAGCCAAGGTCTAGCCCAAATGGCATCCGTTCAGTCTCTTCCTCAGGGAAAGTAGTAAATGTCCTTTTTTTCCAGCCATGGTTAGAATTTCCTCCACTGGCAAGGCCTTCCTGTGCAATAACGTATAGATTATGTCAACATGCTAAGTGGTAGAAGAAAGCTCAAGCAGGAAGTTAGTTAACTGTTGATTGCAAGAGAAACAATGAAAAGAACAACCCTAATCGACCATACACATCTTTAGAAAAGCATATCAACAGTTTCATGGAATTGGTGGATTCATTAAAAACATTATCAAAGACAATCTTGGCATAGGACAAAGAATCACAATCAGTCTACAGTCTACATTAGTGAAGCCACTGCCAGTAAACTAGTAATATCGATTTCATTTTACAAAAACAGAACCAGCAACTTCAGGGCAGTGTAGAGAAGCAAGCTAGTAGATCTATGCAAAAAGGACAAATCCAAAATGATCAATGGCTAATGCTAACAAGTACCCCTGGGGCACTTGATAAGGTATATTTATTATTGTAATAATTTGTATTGAGTTCAGTAGCTTTCTAATTTTAACTTGTTAATGTGTATTAAATTGTCTTGAGTTTAGTAACATTCTATTTTTAACTTACTAATTAAATTAGATGTATAACTTTCTAGTTTTAGCCTATTATTTAAAATTCAACAAGTTTCAAAACTCATTAAATGAAATAAACTATTATTAATTACTCATTATCAAGTGCTCCAGAGGCACTTGTTAGTGTGACCCATGATCAATAACATCAGTTATGATGAAAGTTTGTGTTGAAATTGCACAAATAGAACTACTTACCCACTGGCATCTGCAATTTCCTTTGATATTTTCATCATTTTTCTTGTTCCTGTCTTCACACATGGCAATGTATTTTCCATTGGGGAACCTTTAGAGGACCTGAATTCATTGGTCTTCCATACCTTTGAATTGGATCTAAAAACAGAAAAACACCACAATTAATCAGAACTTTGAGGAGAGCAACAGAAGATGGCAAGGATAAGGAAAGACGGAAACAGAATACACAATGAAATATAGAAAAGACTGATACACTCTGATTAAAACCCATAAATTACTTACCCCCAAAAAAAAACCCATAAATTAGAAGATAATCGAATCTTGAATCCATATTCAACAATGATCATTCCAAAATTAGGACTGTTTCTTACCTTGAAATTGCTAAACTTAAGGAATACTTTTTTGTACAGTGAAGACCGGATCATCATTCAAAGGGTGGAGGCTCCAATAAGAACCTCTGCTATCCACACAACAGCTACGCCATTTGATTTTGTATGAACCAGGAGGGAAAGCAGAAACATCAAACAAGCAAGTAGAGAACCCTTGGCCTTTCTCATTAGGTTCAAGACACACGCAAATATCCACAACCCCACAATCACCAGCATTAAGTTTACGCTGCGTATTGCTAGCCTTTTGGGTACTCTCCATGACAAATTGGAATAACTTATCATTTAAATATACCATGTCATCATCTCGACAACTCCACTGCATTTGCCCCTCATTTGCTCCAGGAGAGGGTACCCGAAAAGACGTTCTACAATAAAGGATGCAATACAGCTTGGTCAACTGAACTGGAAGATCTACTGGCACGTTTTTCAATTGAAGACAAAGGTTTAGTGACAGATGGAAGCCTGGCAAGACTGATATCCCCTCTGGGCTTCTAGTGTTACTGTTTGAAGCAAATAGCTCAGACGAAATGCAAGGCCTGCAAGTTGATGTCGATTCATACATTAGGATATTTTATAAAATGGAAAGATTAGAACCACACTACTATAAGGAGAAGAGACCACATTATGTAGCCTAGACAAAGAGTCAAGAAAAAGGTTCAACATTAGTTATTTAATGAGGGCCAACATGCAGATAGTCACCAAAACGTTGAAGCATAACAATAGTTCTAAAATTTAGTTATTTCATCCACTTCAGATAAGTAAACTAGCAAATAAAAAACCTTCCTAGGATACATGAATATGATCATGTGGAACTCTGAAGGAGGTAGAACAATTGTCCAGCATATTACCTTACTCGAAAGAAGTGGTTTGGCGTCCTGAAAGGGATGAGCATCCATTTTGAAATTATGTCCAACAGATGTTGTAAACTCTCTTTAGTAACTTGGTACAGATTCTCATCATCACGTAATCTATTCGCCTCATTTTGCAAGGCGACCACTCCTGTGACAGCATAACTGCAAACTGTAAGAAGGACTCTTGCTTCACAACTAATATTGAACATTTGATTTCTGGATTGCAGGAAAAAGGTCTTGGGTCGTCTACAAACCCTCCAGAGCAACCCAAGTTTTGTGCAGGTTTCACAGTCTATCTGCTGCAACCGCCAAACTAGATCTTGTATTAGCATACCGTGAAAACCTTCCCCTGACATCCCCAAAATATTTTCAATAATTAAGTTTGGAAAGAAAAGAGAAAATCCAGTACTGAAGGCCAATAATGAACAACTTACTGCATGTGCTGAAATGATCTCAAAACTTTTCTTGTCCATGCCCCTGAAAGATGTGGCAATCAGATCAAATTCTCGTGCTAGCCCATTCAACCGTAAAGATATTTGAGTAAGCGAGCACGCCATGGAAGTTATCCATTGCAAAAATCCCGGGCTCTCGACCATACTATTTCCCTTTACTTGTTCGTTATTCTTAATGTTATCCTGTATGAATGGAACACAGTAGAGCTTAAGGGTATCAGCCACAGATTCTAAAACCTTTGCTCTAAGAGCCAAAAACCATCTCTGGAAACATAGAGCATGACCTGTTGTCACAATGGCTCCCATTGTTTCCTCTAAAGAACGAAGACTGTTACAAGCCTCAATAAGAATTTCAATGTTGTTAGGTAACCTCAGCTTCCAATCCATACCTTGACCTCTTTCACCTAAATCATCTCCGAAAGGTGTGACAGCGGTTTTGTTAATCCCCAAGCAATTTACTAAACTAAAACCCTGTTCTGGTAAATTAAGCAATTGGACTTTCCTTTCAGAATGAGCAAACTCAGCCAAGGATTTTAACCACTGACAACAGGTATTAGATTGAACCATTGTTATAAGATGCTCAAATATAAAAGCAGCAGCAAACCATGCTCCCTGATATGCAGCATTTCTCCCAACCTTGTAAGCAGACCAATTATCCTTTCTTGCTAACATATTCTTTGCACACTCTAGGGAAGTAATTTCGTGCTGAACTAAGTAATCCTGAATAGAAATAGACAAGTTTCTATCAGGATTGTCATTTTTCTCTGACTCATTCAACATGCAACAGTAAGTGATACGAGAATGCAACAAGAAAGAGTAGACGGTCCAAACCCTAAAGCAATCAAATGAGCTGCATTGTTGTACATGTTTGACCAGAAGCTCCTTTGTATCAAGGACTAGAGTAGTAACAGCACCAGATTCATTGAAATTATCGAGGCAAGCAGCCACAACCTTGGAAACAGAAAGCAAAAGCTTTGATGTGATTAATTTTCTATTTTGTCCTCTGAACTCTATGATCTCATGACCTGATAAGTCTGGTTCCGCTGTTCCCACAACCCCATCATGCTTATTCACCATATTTCCTATAAGTACACAAATTTTATCCAGCACCATCCCACCGAGATCTGGATATTTTTCAACCAGAAGAAGAAGAAGGCTGAGCCAGCTTTGACCCTGTCGCTCCATTTCTGAATCAAGCTGTTGAAGATTTGGTACAACCTTAACCAGCAAGCTGATCTGATCTATGACAAATGAGATAATCCTGGATGCCAGAGTAGTGGAATCGACTCCATCTAATGCCTTTTCCTTTTTTCCCATGAAGTTGCCCAATATATCTACTAAAACACGGATGGCTAAGAGTTTCTTTACCATGATTGAAGATTGTGTAGCATTTTCAAGAATTGTTAGAAGCTCGGAAAACTCAAGCATGTCTGCACAAGGCATAGTAGGTAGGTTATATAAGAGAACCTGCAAATTGACCAGTGTAAGAAATACTAATTTAGCAAAATATGATATCACGAAAAGCAACATGACGACAATAATAACCTTATGCAGAATTTGTAGAGCTCCATATTGCAAGGCTGGTGGAAATTCAAATTCATCTAGCATGCTGACCAATGTTTTGATTGGAACAGCACTAGCAGGAAAATGGCACATTCCTCTTTCAACCATATATCGCAGACATTTTAATGCTGTAGCTTGCAAATGCAAAGGTTTCTCTTGGGTTAAAAAAGAGAAGAGCAAGGCCACCTGCAATCAGAAGCCAAAAATTATTAAATATCAAATAAATAGCATCAGAGAAACTCTTATTTATGATAAAATCACCATAATGCTTGACCGCCAATCATCACTGATTGACAATGAGTAAAATGTTATCCAATCAGAACTCATTTCACCAAGACCAAAACTATTAGAATATCTTCCAATACCAAAACTATTAGATAACCTTGGACTGAAATTTTAGCAATGGCAGGAATTATATTTTTTGCTTTCAAAGGCAAGTGTTGTTGGGTCCTTTTTCTTTTATTTATTTATTTAGGGAAGCTGCTAGACTGCAAGTTTTTATACTGACAAGTTAATCAGAACATGCATGGCAAAATCTCAACAGATGATTGGAATATGTACCTGTCCAGAAATCAGGCATGTTGATTTGGAAGCAAGTTTTGAAAGTGAAATCAGCATTGCAGCCAATAAATTTTCTTCTGAAGAACATAACACCAGCTTTAGACCTGCCTGCAATAAACAAATTTTGAATTTGCAATATATTTATGTTGCTATGCCTCTGTAATCTGTATGAATTTATGACCATATGTATGCATCCACTTGTATATGTGTTTGTGTACATGGTATTTATGTATTAATAGGTTTGATGTACTTCCATATGTTTTGTAAATTGTATGTACTTGCATGGCAAACTTATTTCCATAGATGTTGCATGGCTTTGCTCCATCAACTCAAGTTGCATCTTCACACTCCACAGGGTGTGGGGGATTTCAGCATTCAGCACATGATGATAATTTGCTGATATAATGTACTTCAATATCGTTGTTATATGTGATGTAACATATACTTCACCAGATCACTAGTTCGAATAATGCTTGATTGAATATTTTTCCAAAAATATGAATGCATGAACTTTTCTTTTTCATTCAACTATGATATGAATGCAATGATTACACTGTCAAGATGCATTTGGGAGAGAATCAATCGTTTAAGCCTTAATCGTAACCGTAAAACTTATCACTAGAAAAGATTTTGACGCTGGTTTCAAGAAGTATTTACTAACATAAAAAAAAAAAAAACTAGTATATCGAAGAAAATTGTAGACAGCAATGCCAATAGCTGAAATGTCATTGACTCATTGGCCACAAAACGAAGACATTTTACATAACTAGGACATTCTCATCAAATAAAAATAAAATATGAAAATAATGCTTTTTGTAAGTAGTAGTAGTTGTAGTAATAATAATAATAATGTAACACCTTTCCACATTCAAATATGTGTACTATCTATGTAAAGAGTGTAACAACCCAGATTTTTAATTATTCTGTAGAATTTATATTAATATTATTTAATCTCAGTTCGGAAAATATATAATTTATTATATATTATTATGTGCAATTTTGTAAAATAATATAATTATTAAAAGTTTAGGGGTCAAAATATAAATAATAATAATAATAATGGACATAATAATAAAATAAATAACTAATTTTCTGTTAGTATGTGATAATGTGTAATTTAATTAAGCATTAATTAATTTATATAATTATATTAAAAAGTTGGGTCAAAAGGTAACCATCTTAAATATCTATTAAGGATAGGAACGAATATATATAATTATAGTCGAATCTGAGGATTGAATTGGGGAGGGACGCGTGTTGACTGAAGAGTGGGTTCACCTCCCTAAATATAGGGGGGTGATTCGGCTGAAAGAAGAAAAAAGAAAAGGAGAAACAGAAAGAAAAGAAAGAAGAAAAGAGAAAGAAAGAAAAGAAAGAGAGGAAAAGAAGAGAGAAATAGTGGAAGGTGAAAGGGTCTTTGATAGTGAAAAGAAAGAGTAAGGTATTAAAGTTAAGGTGAATTATATTATATCTTGAGTCACCAAAATGTATTTTACGTATATTTTAACTTACCAAAATCTGTTTTATATAAGTTATGTTTTTAATAAAAGTTATGTTTTATAAATGTTTCAGTTACATGGTTTATCATCTGAACGCTATTTGCTTAAAAGGAAACCCATGGATATGTCTGTTTTACTTTTAAAGAATACTTGGCTATGACCTTATATAAAATTATGTTTTGTAAGTACCACCACGGGAGTCCAACGCCTTTGGGGACTTAAATAACCATTGGTTTCTGTTTGGTTATTTTGTGGCCCTCTGATCCATTGACCTCTGTTCTGTGCGGAGCAAAGTGCTCTACGGAGCTAAGTGCTACACTATTGTGGGAGCCACCTCTAGAATTCGTACGAGCCATCTCTTGAATCCGTACCTCTGTTCTATGCGGACCAAAGTGCTGTGCGGAGCTAAATGCTACACTATTGTGGGAGCCACCTCTAGAATCCGTACGAGCCACCTCTTGAATTCGTACCTCTGTTCTGACTGTCACTTCTGTGACCTCTACTCTGTTCTATTCTATTCTGTACCGTGGTTATGGTGATATATTTACATAACATCTGTATTTCAGTTTCTGGTACTTAAATGATTTATTTATCAAACTGAGTTATGTAAATGTTTTGGCTACATAACTATCCATGGTTATTTCGTGCCCTTATACTCTTGGTATAATATTTCTCACTCTGCCACGTGCTTATAGTTTTTTTACCAATTTTCAGGAAACATGCAATTCTGAAATAGCTTCTGGAAAGTCTTAGATGCGAGGCTGCGAAATAGACATACATAGCACTTTTTTATATGTAAATATCGGCATTTTTGGTCAATACTTTTTGTAATAAAAATAAAAGCTCCAATGATTATTTTGGTACCCTTACTGAAATATTTCTTCCGCTTGCGTTTATTTATTTGTTTAAGAATTGGCCGTAGGTAACTTCAGTTACTGGCCATCACGATGCTTAACCCTTGGGTACGGGGAGCGGGTCGTGACAAAGAGAAATACAAAAATTCATTAAAAAGTGATTTTAGTCCACAATAACATTTAAGAGTCAGTCGAAATCCAATCTGCACCATCCAAGGTTTCAAAAAGCGGTGTTACGTAATGGTTGTGGTCTATGAAGCACGGACACGACACAGAAACGTAAATATGCAAATTTTCAAAAAATGGGAGACATGACACGACACACTAGGGACACGTTTAATATATATAATTAATTTTATTTATTATATGTCATAAAATTATTTAAAAAATTATTTTTTTATTTAATGTTATTTTAATAAAAAATAATTAATTTTATTTATTATATGTCATGATTAATTTTATTTATTTTATTATATGTTCAATAAATATTATTCAAATGAACAAAACTAATCAAATTTTTTTTTTTTTATATATAAAATGAAATTAGAAAAAAGAACAAAAGAAGAGAGATGTTACACTGACCATTTATAAAAGAATATAAAACAAAAAAATAAAAGAAAAGAAAGAATAAAATAAAATCGGAGTATAAAAGAATAAATAAAATCAAAGAAAAAATAAAATCAAAATATAGAAGAAAAAATAAAATAAAATCAAAATATAAAAGAAAAAATAAAAGAAAAGAAAAGGAAAATAAAATCAAACAGAGGCTGAGTAAGTGAGAGAGAGAGACACACAGCGACTGAGGGAAAGAAGATTAGATTAGACAGAGGCTGAGAGAGAGAAAGAGAGAGAGAGAGCGACTGAGGGAAAGAAGAAGAATGAAGATCGAAGCAGAAGAGCAGCGACGACTGACGCGACACGAGGGATGACCGACGAGAGACGATCGATGAGGAGCGACGACTAACGAGGAGCGACGACCGACGAGAATTGAAGACGAACGACGAACGACAAATCGACCAGGTCCTCTCTTTCTCACCCTTTCTCTTCTGTTTCTGTTCTAATCGAATTAGATTAGGGCAGATGTTGATCGGTTTTTACTTATTTACAAATCGACCCCAAACAAATTATGTAATTGTGAAATTACCTACAAACGTGTCCCAAAAGTGTCTATAACGTGTCCGGAACGTGTCCGGATGTAAAAAAATTTTAAAAAAAATGGGACACTCTCTGTTGCGTGTCGGACACGTGTCAACCGCGTGTCCGTGTCCGACACTGGTACGGAGCCCTCAGAGAGTTGTCCGTGCATCATAGGTTGCGGTGGTAGGCACTATCAGTTACACCCGTTTTTGCGGTGTGACGGAAATTCACATGTGTAACGACCGTAGCAGTACCATAACGGCCTATTACACACCGTTACACACATTTACAATATTCTGCACAGCTTCCTTTCCAAAAAAAAAAAGCTTGCAAAATATACATTATACACATTCTGCAATATTCAGTAGCTCAAAAATAATTTTTGTTTGTCTCACTTTTTATTTTTATAATCATTTCATTTAATAATTGTAAATATTTTTTATTTAGTTAGTTCTGGTATTGATTAAAAATAATTTTGTAAACATTTAAAATCAATTATTCTTAAAAAAAATAAATAAAAATAAGAGGTAAAATATGGATTTATGACATGTAAAGTCAATAACTATTGAAATAAAATGTAAAAGGCTCCTTTTATAGTAATTTAAAAATATAAAATATATTCGATCATATCATATTTAAAAACTAACAAAAATGGATTAAAATCTATTTAAAACCCCAACAAATGTGATTCTAAAAAATATATATATATATGCATATCAGGTAAGTTTTTTTTCAAGTTGTGTGAAAAATAAAAAAAATTCACGGTTCCGGTTACCGCAACCGTTATGTTACGGCATTTACACTCCGCAACCACGCCACCGCAACCGTTGCGGCAACCATAACCACTTTTTCAAACCTTGGTACCATCCCATTCACCTACATTATTGTATTATTTCCTATGAATAATATGATCATATGACAAAAACTTACATCATTACATTCTCACATCGATGCTTATAAACTTCTATTATATCAAGGGTCATGCCAATATTGCTAGAAGTGGTCATGACATCATATAGTTACCACAAAAGTACTCCACATATGCAGAATGCGTAACTAGTCAAATAAAAAGTACATATGCAGAATGCATATATGCATGCTTATCTGAATAAGACAGTAGAGCAGAAAAAGATGCAGAACCTCGTAAGCTTTACTTGCATGCGAAGATGAACACCCCATTTTGGCAAAAGCTCGCACTCCTACTAACTTTACAGTTGACAATGTTTCAGATGATGTCACCAGATTAGCCAGTATCTCCAAAAGAATAGAAGCAAAGTCATCGGACAACTCACAAAAGCATCCACCGGCAAACAATGCAGCTTCTACCTGATATATGTGACAGATCAGTTCCACTGAATTTTCTAGACAATCAGTTCATTACAAAATGAGCAGCAAACCATATGTTGAGAACAGTTAAAAGGAAATAACTATTAAAAGACCAATTAATCATGTCCTATGTCCAGAATTTCATGCTTAGAATCATAATATCGTGTGATATGTGAGATGCTCATTAAGTCTCGATAATTAGAATCCTCATTACGTTGCTACCAAGGCTCTATAATTACTTAATTAGCTATCCATAACCTCATGGGAGCTTGCCTCCCGGGTCCCCACTTCCATGCTCATGTACAACGAAGACACTAAAATCGGAACTAAATTTGTTACAAGGTTACATCTAGATTGATGGATTTAAGATGGATAGATTTGGGCTTACTCTTTTTAAGATTATACCTCAGGGTTGGATTTTTAACAAGACCCACATATAAATTTATGAGCCTTATGTTAGTAAGATTTAGAATGAGAAGGAGAAGGTGCCGTGAAGAATTCTAAATGCACAAGGAACATAGTTGGACAATTATCTCTATAACCTTTACTGTCTTTTCCCTTGACTCTCCCTTTCCAATTCCAATAGTCAATCCTCCTAAATACTGTAATTTTTTAAACACCAAATGCCCACCTTTTAAGTCCATAAATCCAAATGCAATCTAAGAGTATGTAATACTAAATTTAAAACTATAATGTTTGTACCATGACATCCAATGATATGATATACGGATCCATCAGTTATCCATAATGAGTTCAATGTTTCTGATATTACCTCTTCATGATTGGAAGCTTAAATCATGGTCCTCATTCAAGGTTCACCCTCTTTGTAGAAATTTCAAAAAGAAGTTGCAAAAAGAAAAATCTCTATGGGACAGAGAAAGAAGGCATCCTTAGAAACTCTGCCTACATAGAACCATAAAACCAAAGAGCAAAAAGGCCATACATCCTCAGCTTCTATCTATTACTGTGGTCCAGAAATTGAAAAATGATACATAAATCAATCAAAGATGCAATATAGAAGGGTTCATTATTTGATGAATAAAATGACCTAACCCAAAAAGTCAACCTGAATTAGTTATTCTGCCTATAGAATCTGTATAGCAAATCACCGTGTTATCCCTTTAGCGAGACAAACATACAAACATTACGCATGAGAATTACTTCCAACAAAAATAATTTGCCATCTTTTGGGTAATCCTTAGAGTAAAGAAACTTTGTTGAAAGCCGGAATAAACTATTGAACATACAAGTAAACATTTTATCTTTCAGATAGTTCAGAAACTAGAAACGTTGATGATAAATCGCAAATTGAGCTTTACCTGCAGAACATCACATGAGACCAAACTCGAAAGTATAAGGTATCGAATATCAGCATTGTCCTTTGCAACATCAGCCCAGCAACCAAAAAGAACCAAGGCTAGTCCTCTTGATTCAGCATCCCCCGTGTCAAAAACAATTTTTACTTGTCTTAGCAGTTCTAAGCGGTTCTCTAAACTACACTTGAACATAATTCCATCGTGTTGTCCACGTTTCTTTCTACGGTGCCTCGACAACGATAAGAAAACCTTCACAACACAAAGCTTGGTCTGTTTGTCACCCGTGCCAAAAGCATCTATAAGACGGAGGAGGATTGTGTTTGCAAATAGCCTATCCTCCCCTGGAATTAACCCAAACATGTTATGCTGTGCTATGTTAATTGCAGGTTCTCTATCCCACTGCTCAAGTCTTAGCCCAACCTGTTGTATGGCTTCAAGAGATTGACCTGAAAATATGATAAAACTCTTACCACTAGCCAAAAACCATGAAAACACAATATGGGTCTACAAGAACTTGATATAAAAAACTAAAAATGCACAAAAAAAAAAACAAACAAACAGTGTCTTCATGAAAAGTTTGAAAACAAATCAATGAAAGATTCAAAGATTTTCAGATTGGGTCTGACCGGGTTTCTTTGATCGAAGGCCCTTCTCGAGATCAATGCTCCATTCCATGGCACAAGCTGCAGATGTTCTATCCATCAAAGCTTATTCCCAGACTTCTTCTCTGCAGACACATTCAAAATGTCAAATTTTAATTAAGATATATCTTTAAATCTCTATATGCATTCAACATATACAATATCATTGTAAATATTGATGGAAATAATCAAAATCAATGTAAACATGTACTGGTGTGTACATATATATATATATATATGTATCTAAATCAGATAAACATAACCCATAGTCAATTTTCAAATACGATTGTCAAGTTTATAAAAGCAATTTAATATAAAGATTTCAAAACCCTGATCACGGACACAAGTATAAACAAAATTTCCAAAACATAAAAGAACCCTAAAAAAAATTAGATTCCAAAACCCCTCTAGTTTTGGAGAGAGGGACAACCCATACCTGAGAGAGAGAGAGAGAGAGAGAGAGAGTTGCAGAGGATTTGGAGGGGAGAGTTGGAGTAGCTGTGTGACTCCCCCTGCTGTGGCACATATACGGTGCCGTTTTATCTCACGGTGATGTTTGCTGGAGTGGAGCAAGTTATTTGAAATAATATATTACTCCTTTTGTCCTAAAGTAATAATCTTTTTTTAAGAAATTTAACTTTTCTTTAATAATATAATTATTATATTTAAAAAATATTAATTTTTTAAAATTACTCTTTGATAATATATTTTTTTAAAAATATCAATTATCATAATTGTACTTTTTATATTATTAATGAATTTAAAAGAAAGGCAAAGTGTCGTTTTGGGAAGATGAGTAAAAAACTACGTTTTCATGCATGTGAAAAAAAGCCAAGGCAGCCAAAAACGCAACAAAACCATTTTGGGAAGTGATAAAAATGCAAACTTGTGAAATTATGCAACTACCCTCCATGTTAACAAATTACGGCCTAGGGCAAAACACTTGCTCATGTCCTCCTCCTTGCCGCTGCGCTACTTTGCAACTCCCTCTAACAACCCACGATGAAGCCATCACCTGCAGACACTACCTCTGGACTCCTCATCCATGTTCTCGTCGTCGTCGAATCTGCAGCATCAGGTAAGCCCAAAAACCATCATCCGTTGTTGTCTTTTCGCAAGTATTTCCATAACCATTTTTATGGAAAATTTGTTCAAAAAAGAAGGGATCAGCTGGTGTATAACACTTGTATGTTGTAATATTGCTCGATATTTGCTTTCACTTGTCAAATCCTACCCTCTGTGATGTTGTATTCCTGATCTTTGGTCGTCGGTGTTCTGTGAACATAGACAACCAACTCCATATATGTTCCGCTAATTCCATCTCCCGCTGTTACTATTGCCAGCTTTGTATTGATCACTGTACAAAGAAAAGAAAACAAAATTTTGTTGCACAGATGATGGATGCTTCTTTTAAAAAAATGCTTCTGTTATAATTTTTGTTTTAAAATGACAAAATCAAGACTTGTCATATAATTTTGTATTGATTTTATATACAATTTATTTGTTTATAAATCAATATATATGTGCATTGGTTACTAGGCAAATATATGCGACTAAAGATTTTTGTTTCTAAATTTTCATGCCCTTCTGTTTTAAAACAATCACAATCATTGAATCATATAGAATTTTAAAATATGATTTAATAATTGAATTTTTTAAGAGAGCAAAATAATTTGGATAGAAAATCCGGTGCGAAGATATATATATATATATATTATGCATGTATAAAAGATAGGAAAAGAGGATGGAAAAATTAGAGTTACCAAGATAATATGGGAATATTTGTGAGCAAAAACATTTTGGTTGGTGAGGCATTGATCAACCCATGGGCCTGAGACAGAGAGAATTGCAGCTTCAAATTGAGCTGACTGATACAGCAACTGTGCAAAAGATACATTGAGCCTCTTTTGTAGTTGAACATTAGATTAAGAGAAAGTATGGCCAAAAAAAAAAAACCCTACTCATCAACTCATGAAGGAAAACCTATCTAATTTGTACACACTATATTAGTTAAATCTCATTTAAAAAAAAAAAAAACTATCCAATACATGAGATTCTTGTTATTGTATTGACTTGGTTCATATAGTTTTAATTTTATCAATTTTACTCTTTCATTTCTCACACTACATCAAATTAGTTCAATTTATAACATGTCAACCAAAAAAAAAACATTATCGAGATGGCGTCCTCCATGTCAACTGCCACTTCATTATGGCCACCGAGGATGTGTGCATGTGGCTTTGGACATTGCGTTGTCAAGATATCCAGACCTGCCAAAAACCCTAGTCGTGCGTACTACATTTGCCTTAGTCGTACTATGCGTTTGTGTTGCCCCTCTCTTATGCAGTTAGTCATGTGCTTGTTTATTTTTCGTTACGTCGCATAGCATGTATTCTAACTATGTATTTCACTTTGTATGGCAGCAATGTGTTGCGTAGGTTGGTTGGTGTGACGAGTTTTGTAGCAAAAGATTTGCTACTGACCACCCACCTAATGTTGTCGATATGGGGTTACTTGCGGATGTTGTTCACATAGATCAGAGCCTACGTATGCTTAGGACTGTCGTTAGTGTTTTGTGCGTCGTTGTTTTTGTGTTGTTGTTTTGTATATGATGCATTGTCATGGATGTTATTACATTTACGTTTCGTTTTGTATCACCTATATAGTTGTTGCCAGTAATGTGTTTGTCCTATATTACATAACATTTCCGCAACGTGTTATAAAAACCGTCTTTGTCTTTTGGCGTTTTGTACTAGTATGTGCATAACTTCATAAATTGAAGATGGACTTCGATTTCGAATTTGGACATGAAAACCATATATACTCTAATTTTGTGAAACTAATACATCATTAAATTTACAAGCAGGATTGCATTTCTCATGACTCCAAGTACACTAATCGCACTACTCATTGCAACGAATCGTTCATCACCCCGTACTCCTTCCAAGAATCGAGGTAAGATTGTCACCGCAACCCAACAACAACTAGTCCACAAATACCAATTCAACAGTGACAATACAAAGTTGTTTCTAGAACTCGTCATAGCTGAAATGGATGTTGGTAATCGACAACCGTGTGGATTGTCGATGGCTGGGTATAAGAACGTTGCCAACAAGTTTTTGCACAAAACGGGCCTACTACATTCAGCCAAACAAATGAAAAACAAATTTGACAACCTAAAGAAAGATTGGGTTGCGTGGAAGAAGTTGGAGAATGCCCGCCAAGGCTTGACAGGGCTTGGGTATGACCAAGAGACGAGTTTGTTCACTGCACCTGACCATTGGTGGGCCAAAATGCAAGCGGTATGTAGTGCAATAATTTTTTTTTAGTATTAATCTTGTACCAGTATTTGTGATTTATGGTGCCATATGTTGTTTACGTAACTACTTTTAAAAATCAAAGCAATTCCTTAATATACTAATGTTATCCTTCAGATAATTGTGCCATGTTTACAATTATTATTTGTAATGTTTTCATTATTAATTACGACATTTTTTAAATTATTTCTTGTGCACCGCACAACTTTCCATGTTCACACTTATTTGTATGTTTATAATTATTGTTTTCGAATTATCACATATCCCTTCAACTAAAAAGGTACAATTATTTGGTGCACATTCTCAATTACGTAATTCAATGTTATTGGCTTTTACTGTCATTGCTGTTACACTTTCTGCCTTGCAAATAAATTGCTACCTTTACTTACATATGTGTATTCTTCTGTCTCAGATGAACAACCGATGTGCTAAGTTCAAGACCAAGCCTTTAGAGCACTTGGAGCTCATGGAACAGGTGTACTCTGGCGCAGCTACGATAAGGAAACATACATGGATTCCAACTGAACTGCGTGATGATAATGCTGCCGCGGCCAATGCCAATGAGGACAGCGGGATGAGACCTCTCAGTGCTGGCACACCACTACATCCGAGCCGTGACACTGTCGGGGAGAACGTGGTAGATAGTTCCCTATTCGACGATGCTCCCCCACAATCGGCAGTCGACGAATTAGTTAATGCAAAATATCACAAGCGGGCAGCGCCTGGTACTGTCGCTAGTAGCATGGACAACCTCATGGAAGCAGTCAGCAAACAAAGCCAGGAACTGAAAATTACGCAATATGTTATCACTGGGAAGAGTGAGAACACTGTGGGGGACTATCTTGCAGGGCTAATGAGCACGCCTAGATTGGAGCCCGGCAGTAAGTTGTTCTCATTCGCATACGGCATAATGGATTCATCCGATAATCGGGATATCATCATGGCCCTCCCCGTGGATTACATTGTCAACTGGTTAAAAGAGAAGTGTGCCTGCACGCTGGCCAAAGTTGGCAAGGATCGTGAACGGGACGTACGTCTGTTTGGTAGTGATGGTGTGGTTGACATGGATTAAGCTTCTATTCTTGTATTGTCATTTTTATTGCTGTCATGCCACTGTACTTCAAATGTTTGTAGACTTTTATGCTTTGGACGTTTGTTTTTTTTTTCCAAATTTGTTTTGTAGAAGATCGATAAGCCTGACTACAGTGTAGTCGTTAATTTCGCTTGTGTTGGGTGCATTTAGTTAAGTTTCGACACAGGCTGAATATGTTTATGTTATCCTTGTTAGTTATTGTTGTGAAATTTGCTATTAAGTTTAATAGCAAGGGTTTTTTTTCCCAACTTTTTCGTTGTGTAACTTGCTACACGGTTGAACATATTTGTCTTCATGTTGGTAGATGGGAGGAGTAGGTTTTTACCCATTGTTGAGGATTTGGGTAATTTCTGCAAAGTGTACAAGCCAGTACATGCCACTATTGTGTCACATGTTGGTTATACAAATATCTCATGGCAATGGAATCTATTTTTGGTGCATCATGTACTACATTTCAGATATGTATGTTGCACTGTGTACGGAATTGCAGTATTTATGTATTTATTTCTTGTGAAAATTTCAGTATTTATTTATTTATATTTCTATATTTACGTATTAATATATGTATTTCTTGTTGTCTTTATTTATTTATTTACATTTATGTATATATTTATGTAGTTATTTATTTTTGGTTCTATTTATTTATTTATATTTCTATAAATTTTGTAGTATATTTATTTATTTTTCGTGCTTATTGTTTATTTATTTAATTTTTTGTATTTATTTTTGTATTTATTCATTTTTGGTTGTATTTATTAATTATTTATATTCTGTATTTATTTTTTTATTTGATTTATTTTTTTATTTAGATTTCTATATATATTGAATTATTTACAAAATTTCAGGTGCAATATTTATGTAATTATTTGTGTCTCATATGTTGATGATGCAAATGAAACTATTGCTTAATGTGATGGATGCATCAGACTAGAATCTTATACCCACATTCAACATGTACTACCTTTCACATGGTATTGTCGCCTATTTGTTCTTCATGCACCACATGGAAATAGT